CTTCTGTTTCATCATCGTCATCAAGATTATACAGTTCTTGTTCATGAATCAGTTGAGTCTTTATACTCTTTTTATGAAGGAATGCTTTCAAATCTTCCTTCACATGCGACGGAACTTTAGGAGAAGATGCGACATTTGGATCACCGCCGATTAGATGCGCTTTTTGACGATAGATTCCTCCATTTGAAATCTTGTCACAAAAAAGACATCTAATTGCCATCTTGTTGGTCTCGCAAACTCTTTCAGAGTAAGCCCAAGCCGGATCTTTCCTATCTTCTTTTGGCGCCATTAAAAGAACAACTACATAACACATAAGAAAGGCAATAAGAACTAAGAATAAACTATAAAGGATATAAAAAATCATAGGAATTCTCTGACAATAACTGGAAAAATTGGGCAGTAAAATTCTGGAAAAAATTCGCCAGCATTTCGCTGCTTTTTGTCGTTTAGAAAGAAAAAGAATAAGAAGAAGAAGAAGAAGAAGAAGAATGGAAATCAGAAGTTCAGAACATACCTGTTGAAGTCTTGAACTAGTAGTTGAAGAAGAAGAAGAAGAACAACCCTAGTTGATGATTTGAGATTCTTTCAGAAATCAGAAGTAGATGAAGAAGTCGCTGCTGTTGGAAGTTGAAGAATACTAGTCGCTGTTGTTGAAGATCAGTGTTTAATCCAAAAAACTTGTTTTTAATAAAATAGGGTTGGGTATTTTAATACAGAGAAGCGGACGCTTCTTCTCTTCGCTTCGCTTTCCCCGCTTCTCGCTTTTTATAGAGAAGCGGTCGCTTTTACTGACCTGGGTCGCTTCAGCAAGCTGAAGCGCTGCCTTTCACGCTTCGCCTCGCTTCATCGCTTTAAGCGATGAAACGAGCGCTTTTTTAAACACTGATTTAGAGCAGGTGTGCCCACAGCTTTTCTTGATCTTTTGCAAGTCAGATTGGAAGTTTTTCTTGCATTGTTGTTTGGTGTTCCTAATCACTTGTGGATTATAGCTTCATTGTTCTTTATTTTTCGAGTGTTAAGCTGCTTCTTAGGTTGAAAACGTTATGTGGGTCAAATATATTCATGTCTTAAGCTTCAATGATCTTTGTTATGATCAATATCAGCTCTTCTCGTTTAATCAGTGGACAGTCTCTGTGTGTGTATATTCATCAATTCGAGCTCCATCGGATGTAGAGATGTTTACTTCAATCTTTTGCCCTATTAATCTTAGGTTACATCTTCATGAACCTTGAGACAGGCAGATTAATAGGAGTTACAATTTGCTGATAAGCCTTATTAAATTTTGAGTTTATACTGAATAGTAAAATTAGATCATGATACATTTGGGTTTTGACAACTAGATGCTTGCAGCTCCTAATAGTGGCAAATAAAGTAGAGTATATATTGGTGCATTTCTCATTTGCACTTAAATTCATGCTAACAATACTCACATATGTGAGAGCACCCAAGGGTGTTGCGTAATGATCAATGTAGTGGGAGGAGAACTATGAGGTCTCAGGTATCCCAACGGAGGCAAAAAAACACTAGGTGATTTCTTCCTATCCGTCTAAGCTTTGGTGGGACGAGTTACCCAATACTTGTGCTAGTGGGAGGTAGCATGTGCCCGGTGGAATAGTCGAGGTGCGCACAAGTTGGGTCGGACACCACCATCAAAAAGAAAATACTGAGCTGTTTTAGAAAGACAAAGTTAAGATACAAAGTGAATGCACAAGCAATTGCTTTGTGTTTTGATCGGTCTGGTTTAGATGCATGAATCATTTCCTTAATTCACAAAATCTTCTACAACTGCAGTTATTCGATTATTTGACCCTAGAGTTTATGAATTGTAGTATGCATGTGATTAGCCATCAAAAAGAAATTGTAGTAAGTGTGTGCTTCAGCTACTTATAGCAATGGCGATACCTAATTTAAAAAAAATCTTCTTGAGCATCACTTAGTGCAGCTCAGAGAAACATGCATGACTTGATTGCTAAAAAGTTGCTGCTAAAACCTATTCCCTGTGAAGTATTATATGACATTGCCTCCTTTTTATCCTTCTTCTTTCAGGTAGTTTTAGTTTCATCCAAAAGTCATGCATCTAGGTTTAAGTGTGAGTATACTCTTTTGTTTTCGTTATTAAAAAAAAACACCTTCAAGATCCTTGTTGCACCCCTGTCGATCTGACAGGATTTGTGTGTGGATGTGTGATCCGCATTGGATTTGTTCGACCTAACTTGAATGCTTTGACCACACCTATGGCCAAGACGTATAGGTTCATTGGGGTTTTGGTTTGACTTTGGGTTTATGTCACACATAAAGTACTAGAACACTTGTTATTGTACGAGATAACTTACGGATAAAGTAAGTGTTTTCAAAGAATTTACTTATACTAGTTTTAACTTAATAACTTCAGTTAATTGTCAAAATATATACTTATATATGTCGTAATACGCATTTATTGGTTGGTTGTCTTAACACCCCTATCCACATGCCTATCCATATCCTTGAACCCTGAGATTTAGGTTATGACAAATCTGACTTCTAGATCCGCACTTGTGTCGGGTGACCACACCGGTATCCGAGCAACATAGGTTTTAGATCCTTGTCTTATTTTTTTTGAAGTTATTGAATTTATGGAGATGATAAATTTGAGTTGCACAACTGAAAGTGCATATTTTCTCTAATACTAAAAGATTTGGAGTGATTCAAGAGTTTTATACTCCTTTCGTCCTAGCTGTTTGATTATTTAACCTAGTTAGTATTCCGAAAGTCATGCAACGTCTTCTTTGGACACAATTTTGTCAGATATTTTTCTTGAAAATTGTAACTTAAAAAATTTGGCTTCGTACTACTTTTATGTATTTCAAATATGTTAGTTTTTCCAAAAAAAAAAAGAAATTTTTTTTTTTTTTTTCAGAAATCAACACAAGATTAGTCAATTAGACACTAAAGTCAAGTATTCTTTGCGATGGAGGGAGTACCTCAAAAGCACTATAATTCGTTTAAAGTACCTGGATTTTGATTCATGCATGTGATACTTATTTGACTGCTCTTGTGCACAGCTGCATTTGGAGCAGTATTACATGTAATATCCACTTCAATTCTTGGCATAACGGCAGTAACAATAACAAACACAATTGCTGGCGAGGAAACAGTGCACAAACTGGCTTCTCTTTTGCTTATTGTTCTTGGTGGTAGTTATGTAATCTTGTTTCTTCGCGGAAAGGGCGGTCACTGCCACTCACACAATCAACCTATGGAGAAAATGGCCGTAGCAGGGCTTATCCTTGTTCCTGCGTTGTCTCCTTGTGCAACCACTCTCCCTGTTTTTCTTGCTGTTGGAAACTCAAAATCCATGATGGTGCTTGCCATCATAGTTCTGTTATTCAGGTACTCTTGTTTCTAAATTTCTACTACTAAACTTTGCATATAGGTGGATTACATACTCTTTTTGTTGCTTTTTCTTTTGGAAAAATGTAAGGTTACTCTGGAGAAAGAGTAGAAGCAAAATAACTTGATCTTATTAGAGAAAAGAAAAGGATATGGAATAAGGGGGTGGGAGGAAGTAGTGGGTTTAGATGGTGGTATGTCCCTTTAGCTTGATCCTTTATCTATGCCACCCTTGCTTCGGTCGATCATGGGGTTTCCCTCTGTCAAGAATCCAGAGAAGACCACAGTTATCAATAAAAAGTGCTTATTTCAGTGACTGCCATCTATGTTACGTAGACTCTCCAAAATGCCGCCGCACCCGTGTCGGATCCTCAAATTTGTACTATTTTTGGAGGATCCGACACACAACCGGCAACATTTTCGAAGAGTCCGAGCAACATGACCTACCATTGACTAGTGCTTGATGTTTTGTGGACTGTGAGAAGTGGTGACTGTATGTTATTCCTTATCATGAGGGGAGCTGTGCTTCACCTTAAATACGAGGATGCTAGTGTTTTAGTTTTTCATTCCTTCAACCTTCATCCAAAATCCGTTTGGACCAGTCCGCTGTAAACTGCTAAACTTTCAGAAAGTACCTCTGTGAGAATTTTAGTAATGGAATTACTGCTCCAGGCTGCCATCGTGAAATTTAGCTATATTGCGCGAACTTTTCAAAATGTTGCTGAACCCGTGTCGGATCCCTCCGAAAATACACTACTTTTGGAGGATCCGACACGCACCCCCGACCATTTCGGAAAGTCCGAGCAACATAGAAATTTAGTACCTCCGGTGGTTGATAACTTGATATACAGTATACTTCTAAATTTTCCCTTTCTTACAATGAAAGCCCGTTCACGCTGGTTGAATTTATTGATATCTATGTTTTTCTTATCTGTAGCTCCTTTATCAAAATGGCCATTTAAACTCTCATTAGATTTGCGGACTACCATCCCAGTGCGGGACATTTTTGATTAATCCAAATTTCCTGATACTTAATGTAAGTTGATACTTCACTTGCAGCACCATAACTGTGATGACCTCACTGGTGGCTCTATCATTTTACGGTGCAAGTCAACTCAAGTTTCACTGGGTGGAACGCTATGACAAGCTCCTTGTCGGTTCAGTGCTAAGTCTGGTTGGTATTTTGACCCTTATTTTTCACGATCACGATGGAGAAGTAGGTTCTGCAGGAGGTCATGTGCACAGAAAACTCATTGTGCTATAAGGATCGGTCTTCAACCAATAAATCTTAGTGCATATTTACCTCAACTTAAGAAAAGCATGTACAAACACTCTTTTTTTTGTTCCAGTTGTGTAATTAATGAGAGCTCGAGGTTATGACTATTATGTTAAACAATCTTTACTTAAACGTAGTAGTTTCCTCTAACAACAGTTCATGCTACACTGAAAAGGAGGAACTGGTGTGTGGCATTTGCTTCATTTAATTAGTTTTCTGGTTTTCTTTTCTTAAGTATGTTTTGATCTAGCAGTTAAAATGGGGACACATTTTGATCTTGCACAAAAGTTTGAGGATAAATTTACATATTTTCGCATCGAATGAAATAGGTGAAAAACTACTGGAGTTCACATTTCAAAGTAGGGTGATTTTTCTTATTTGCTCAAGTTTTGCACTGGTGGAAGATAGCAAGTATTCGACAAAATAGTCCAGGTATAGATAAATTAGCTCAAACGTTACTGTTATAAAATTGTTTTTTTGTTAATACAGCTTCTCTATGTTGAAAGACAAGCATTAAACGACATATTACAATAGCTATTCTAGCAGTCACAGCGACCAGATTGTGAAAGACAACCTTTTTGATGGATTCTAATTAGTTCTACTTATAATAATCTTTTAGAAGCAAAAAACTTTCCAAATTTAAAAAAAAAAAAAAAATTGAACAAAAAACATTGATAGTAGAAGGGCCCACCCCAGGTATAAGGAAAGATTGATCACAAAAGTTAGGAATAAATTCTTAAAAAGAACCAAACATGGTTGTATACCAAAGAAACCATAAGTTGCCTTGCCATGACAATTCGTCTTTAACCTAAGGTTTGGAATCTTTGTTTGGTTTTGTGTATGAGCTATGTCATGGCCCTAAGAGGAAGCATTGTATCCCAAATACTAAAGAGGTTGCCCAATTTTGCTGCCAATTCTATGTTACTACTAATACTACAAACCTATCAAATGGACAATTAATATTAGCCATTAAGCATCTATATTCTACCAATGGAATGTATTTCTTCTTCACTAATTATTGTTAATCCTTTCAAGATTATGGCCTCTTCTTCCTTCATCTTCCTTTGGTTCATTCTTCTCTTTAATGGTAGGTCTATACTCTTGAGTTCGTCATGGGTTTTATTTAATTAAGACGTTTTGTTATTTTAGCTTGGTTCTTGCATGTTGTTAGTTCTTTAATTAGTGATAGCTAACAGTTTATGGTAAGAAAAAACGTTTGACTCTTGAAATTTGAACTGCATCACATAAATTCGGACAGAGCCAACATAACTTTTAGTACTTTTTATTTTATATTTTTGGATGAATAATATAATATTGGTTTGAAATGAGTTTAAAACATGATCAATTTATATATAGTTGACACCTAACTTATTGCGGTTGAGGCATAATCTGACTTACTGTTATTGTAACGTCAACAGTGTCATATGTTAATTTCTTTTTTCTTGTTGTTGGACAGCTTCAATATCATATGCATTCACAGGCACATATGGGGTAAACTATGGAAGAGTATCAGACAATATCCCATCACCCGAAGACGTCGTAAAACTTCTCAGGACAAACAAGATAAAAAATATCAGAATCTACGACGCAGATCACAGAGTTCTGAACGCTTTCAAAGGTTCAGGGATCGAAATCAACGTATGTCTTCCCAATGAATTACTTAAAGATATAAGCGTGAACGAAGCTCTAGCTCTGGAATGGATAAAATTGAACGTTCAACCGTTCCTTCCCGATACCTCAATCCGAGGTATCGCGATTGGAAATGAGATACTAGGTGGTGATATAGAAATATCAGAAGCTCTAGTCCCTGCTTGTAAAAATGTGTACCGTGCACTAAAAAGGTTGCATTTAGCAGATTTAATTGAAGTTTCAAGCCCACATTCTGAGGCAGTTTTTAACAGCACTTATCCACCTTCAGCTGGTGCATTTAAAGAAAGTCTCATGCCATATTTAGGACCACTTTTGCACTTTTTTAACCAAATTGGATCACCTTTTTACATTAATGCATATCCATTTTTGGCCTACAAATTTGATCCTATTACAATTAATGTTAACTATGCACTATTCCAACCAAATGCTGGAATTGATGATCCAAAGACAAACTTGCATTATGACAACATGTTTGATGCTATGGTTGATGCATCTTATGTTGCCTTAGAGAAACTTGGGTACAAGAAAATGCCGGTAATAGTGTCCGAGACAGGTTGGGCGTCCAAAGGGGATGACAATGAAGCGGGTGCAAATGTTAAGAATGCCAAAACTTATAATTTTAATTTGCATAAAAGGTTGATGTTGAAGAAAGGTACACCTTATAGGCCAAAAATGGTGGTCAAAGGTTATGTGTTTGCATTGTTTAATGAAAATTTGAAACCTGGGCCAACCTCTGAGAGAAATTTTGGATTGTTCAATCATGATGGAAGTATTGCTTATGATATTGGATTTAAAGGACTTGTGCCTTCTTCTGCATCCTCAAAGGTATGTTTTCTTTACATGATTAATCCATTGTCACTTTCAAAATGTAATTATTATTTTTTCTTTATGTATTGGTATCCGAAGCAACTGGCGCGACTCATTGGAGTTGCGTCACATAGGGCTAAATAAAGGGATAACGCTCCCTAAAAGGAGTTTCTCCATTCTAAAAATTCGAGTCTGAGATGTCTGATCATTAAGAGTGGAGGAATCTCATTTATCCCGCTGTACTCTTTGGCGGTCAGCCAAAATAATTGTTACCTTTATGTCAATATGGTTGTTCTAATTATTTAACCAAACTCAAACATAAATTCTGGTTATCAAATTAGTAGGAAAAGTTGAAAGCTAAAAGTACAAGTTTTTAACTTTATTTTTCTCTATCATTATATATTGATTTGTTTTTTGTTTTGTCAGGACTCTATACTACGAGGGAGGTATTTGAGTTCCAAATCGTTACTTCTTGTGGCATGTGCGACAATTCTGCTTCTGTTCACAGAACTATGACCTAACAACATCTGAGAATGGTACCACTGCCTCCACACATATTCTTAGTCGTTATTTGAAAGTATTGGAAGAAATTGTAGTCACGAATTTGTATAAATAGTTTTCAGTTAATTCAATTTGCCATTCATCACTAGTACCTGTTGATTGATGATTGGATGTCAATATATATATTTTTTGGCCACTTAATGGCTAATCACATATTGCGATTGCCAATTTTTATAGTTTAATGGTATTGATGATGATATCTTTGGCATAATATATGTTCGCTTGAAACCGGTCAATTGATTTTTTGACTCTTTAGAAACTTATTTTTAGTTTAATGATTCTATTTTTTTTTTTATACATGTGAGATTTACTTTTACACGTAAGAGATCTGTCTTTTACATATAAGAGATCTAAGAAGGTCATTTTCTTAAATTCAAAATTATAAAAGCACATGATGTACAAATAGCACGCTTGAAACTCGCGTTTTCTTCCTAGTAATTAAGCCTTCGTTTTACAAATTCTTCAAATGTTGATGATAGAAAATTGAATTTTGATTGTTCCTCATTGTAACAAGTTGAATGAACAAGAATTTCTATATCAAGCACATATCATGCAACTTTTTACCCAAATAGAACTAACGTGGAAATATAAAGTAAATTGTAAGGAAACTTTAAGATGGGTAAGTTGTAGGTTTATTGGTATAGAAATCAAAAAACAAATTTTATACCATAAAAGCTAGTATGACGCAAAGTTGAGTATTGAACTTCGCCAACGTTTATATCGACAACCCCTTAACTTGATATTATTTTTCATTTAAACCCCTTAGTTTTGGATTTTACATATTGAACAAATCATGTTGTCGAAAATGTACTTATTAAATACAGATTTGTTAACATGGAAAAAACTATGTCTTGTCAGTTGTCACTTGTATCGAATGCGTAAAATTAAGGGTTAGGTTACGTACATCTAAGTCCATTCTAAATTTTTAGCTTGAACAACTATTGTTCTTTTTGTTTAATTTTTTAATTAACCATAATTGAATAGGAAGGGTAACTGGTTTTTAACTCTGGTTCGAGGTATGATTTTTACCACTTTTTAAGACATCTTTAAATTAACCATAATCTCGTTATGCGTTCACATGGATTCATGCAAAGCTTTCCATTTGTAATCTATTATTTTCTCTTTTGAGCTTTGTAATATGGCCAAATTTTCATGACATTTGCCATGACATAATATCCATTATAACAATTTTGTGGTTCATGACATTTGCCACGACATAATAACAAATTTGTGGATCATGACATTTGCCATGACATAATATCCATTATAACAATTTTGTGGTTCATGACATTTGCCACGACATAATAACAAATTTGTGGATCATGACATTTGCCATGATATAATATCCATTATTAGGCCAAGGATTTCTTGCTATAAATAGAGGTGTTTCTCCTCATTTGTAAACACACAAATTCAAGAGCTTTTCACTCTTGCCTTTCTTTCTCCTCCTTTATTTCATTATAGAGTATTTTGTAAGAGAGTGAGTGTTGGGAAACACTTGTGTGAACCCTTTCTTTGGAGTGATCTTGTGAGATTATTCTCTTGGAGTATTTGGTAATTAGAGTATTTACTCTAATTTTGTACTCTCTTTTGTACTCTTGTTGGTATAGTGAAATTACTTCTCTCCGCTTGTGGATGTAGGTCACCTTGACCGAACCACGTTAAATTTGTGTCTTATTTATCTTCTTTAATTGTCGTTATTATCAACTTGCATTGTCTTTGTTATTATCATTATAACGTTGTTTGGCTAAATTTCGCACTACCCGATTTTCCGATCCTAACAAATTGGTATCAGAGCCAGATCTAACCGGGTTAGTTTAAAAAGCTAAAATGACTCTAACAAAGTCTTACGTTGAGAAATTTGACCGAAGTGCAAACTTCGGAATGTGGCAATTAAAGATGAAAGCTATCCTAATTCAGGATGGCCTAGATTTGGCACTGCAAGGAAAGGAGAAGATGCCGGATAAAATGACGGACGAGGAGTTTGCCGTCATAGACAAAAAGGCAAAAGCAAGTATTATTTTAAATCTTTCAAATGGGATTTTGCGTGAAGTTGCAGCAGAAAGCTCAGCCAAAGGCATATGAGAAAAGCTTAAAACCCTATATATGAAAAGAACAGTATAAAATAGGCTTTACCTAAAGCAAAAACTCTACACTTTTCGTATGGCTGAAAGTACCTTTATACTTATACATCTTGATACTTTTGATTCTCTTCTTAT